ATATATAATTTTGATATGTCTTGATGTGCTATTTTAGATCGAACTTTAGTGTCGACAAGGGTAGTTTCATAGTTCGACAGGAGTTATGCGTGCTGAAGTCGAAGCCTGTTCAAGTATGATGTCAAAATATGTTAACTTTGTGTTTAAGTTAGCATGTCGAATTGAGTCTTGCTTGTAAGCCCAATTGTTAAGTTAGCTTAGTAGTCTATAAATAGACTAGTTCTCTCAGGTTGTTAAGAGAGGTTAATTGTTGGTATTCACTTATAATCTTTGAATCCTTATTGAGTAAATAAATAGAAAAACAATTTTAACCAATTTTTATTTTTCTTCTTCCTTCTTCTTTATCTTTTGTAAATTCTAATAGGGTTTTTTGTATTTGTTCAAGAAACTCAATCTTTTTCTCATATTTTGGTTTGTTCTTAATGACATCAATTCACAACAAACTAGTGTGGTGAATGTGGAGGAGAAGATGTCGTCAACAAAGTATGAGATTGAGAAATTCATCGGTGTGAATGATTTCGGTTTGTGGCGCTTGAAGTTGCAAGCCCTTCTTGTTCAACAGAGTTTGTTAGAAGCGTTGAAAGAATCGGAGAAGATGGACGTCGCCTTATCGGAGAAGGATAAGACAACGATGGTAAAAAAAAAGCCCACAGTGTCATTGTATTGAACCTTGGTGATAAGGTTCTCCAGCAAGTTTCAAAGGAGAAAACTGCAGTTGGTGTGTGGACGAAACTTGAAGGTTTTTACATGACAAAATTGTTGGTTAATCGTCTTTACGTGAAATAAACTTTGTACTCATTTAAGATGAGTGAAGAAAAAACCTTGACTGAGCAGTTGGATATGTTCAACAATTGAATTATTGATCTTGAAAATATCAAGGTCAAGATTGATGATGAAGATCAAGCGTTGTTGTTGTTATGCTCTTTACCTATGTCTCATGCTCACTTCAAAGAAACTCTCTTGTATGGAAGATAGTCATTGACATTTGAAGATGTTCAATATGCCTTGTACTTTAAGGATTTGAACAAACGAAAGGAGCACAAACCATCTTTTCTTGGTGAAGGTTTGTCAGTTAAGGGGAAATTCTTGAAGAAAGATGGTAGGTTTAAGAAAAAAAATGGTAAAGTTCTACAAAATTCTTATAGTGGTAATGCTCCTACTACTAAGTATTATCATTGTAAGAAAGATGGTCATACAAGAAAAGTATGCCCTAATCAACTGAACAATAATGGTGGAAAGGATAATGGTAATGCAGCCATTGTGCAAGATAATTATGAATCATCTGATGTCCTGGTGGTTTCAAGAAGTGACTCTAACAAGGAGTGAATTATGGATTCAAGGTGTACTTGGCACATGAATCTAAACAAAGACGTGTTTAAAGAATTGTGTGATCAAGATGGTGGATCAGTGCTGTTGGGAAACAAGAAAACTTGCAAAATTGCAGGTATTAGATCTGTGAGATTCAAGCTCCATGATGAGTCAATAAGGCTATTAACTGATGTTAACTATGTACCTGATCTTAAGAGGAATTTTATTTCTCTTGGTGAATACAACAAGAAAGGATATGTTTTCAAAGGAGAGCAAAGCATGTTAAGGGTAATGAAGAGGTCGAAGAAAGTCTTGAGAGGCATGAAGAAACAAGGCCAGTATACCCTTAATGCTGAGGTTGTAAGTGGTTCAGTAGACGTGACATTCGTGAAGCCTGTGTCGAAGACTGAGCTATGGCACAAGAGACTTGTCCATGTCAGTGAAAGAGACATGTTCGAATTGTCGAAACAAAATCTGTTGGGTGGTGATAAGGTCAAAAAATTGGAGTTTTGTGAATCTTGTGTATTCGCTAAATCCTGTAGAATGAGGTTTAACAAAGGTAAACAAAGAACACATGGATCCCTTGATTAGATTCATACTGATCTTTGGAGACCTGCAATAAATCCTTCACACTCCGGTGCATAGTAATTTCTATCCATAGTTGATGATTATTGTAGAAAGTTAAGGGTATTCATCCAGAAGACTCAGGATGAAACTTTTGAAAATTTCAAAAGTTGGAAGACTCTGGTTGAAAACCAAATTGGTAAGAAGGTCAAGAGGTTGAGGACCGACAATGGTCTTGAATTTTGCAATAAGGTTTTCGACAACTATTGAGTTGTGTCTGGTATTGCATGACAAAGAACTACTGTAGAGACTCCCCAACAAAATGGTTTGGTTAAAAGGTTTAATCGAACCATTCTAGAAAGGGTGAGGTGCATGTTGATAAATGCAAGATTGATGAAGGTGTTTTGGGCAGAAGATGTTGTAACTGCAACATATTTGATAAATAGATGTTCTTCAACAACATTGGGAATGAAAACACCTGAAGAAGTCTGGTCGGGACATCCACCTAGTCTCAACAGACTTAGAGTATTTAATTGTTTAGTCTATGCTCATATTAGGTAAGACAAGGTCGAACCTATAGCTCTGAGATGTATGTTCTTTGGATACTCTGAAAGAGTCAAATATTATAGGTTGTGGTTCCTAGAGCTAGGTCACAGAAGGTGTATCACAAGTTGAAATGTAGTTTTCAATGAAGTTGAGACGACTTTTAAGAAAACTGATGACATTGGTCGAAGTTCGAAGATCTTTGAAGAAGAGCTGGAAGAAGAAGAGATTTTTGTTGAGGTGGAGCATAATGATGCTGAACTGCATGACTTAGATGAATTCGAAAAAGATGCAAACCCCATTGACATCCATAGTAAGACGATTTTCGAATAAAATTAAATGAATGTCTATAATTAATTATAATTTAAAGTTAAATTTTATAGTTTTTGAGACAATACTTTTATAGTAAAGTTTATTATTTAACTCATTTTTATAAATAAATATTTTTGTTTTTGTTTTTCATCCTCCGATTTTTAAGAAAAACAACCCCTAATAATCTAGAGTTCGGCCTCAGAGATACATACCTGAACAAATATTATAAATAAATTTTTAAATATAAAAAAACCACTTCACTTATAATCGAAATTGCAATTTGAGAAGGACAGAAAAGAATAGATGAAATTGCGATTTGAGAAGGAAAAAAAATTGATAATATAAAACAATAAAAAAAATTTAAAACTAATCTTTTCATATTTATTGTTGAATATAATTTAGCTCATTGAAACTAAATTAGCAAATGTCAATTGTAGAGAATTAATACAAGTGGACCTAAACAATTGACTTATACTCAGGACCACAACACAGTTTGTACCTCATTTCACATGGAACCAAACCCAATTATCAATTTTCAGTTATTATAAAACGAGACATTCTTAATTAATTCCCATATTGTAACTCACCACTCCCCATGATTCTTTCTATAATAAACAAATAAATAAATAACTCATTCAAAATTTGCAATACATTTTGAATTTGAAAGCAGGCGCTGAAATCACAACTTTGTAAAATAAGTTAGGTTTTGTTTGGTTGGAGAAAAAGTTTGTAACGATTCTTGTGATGATAACAGCGACATCACTTGTTGTTTTGGTAAAAGTCCATACACACATTAACCAACCTATTCATGACACACATCATGCTTTGATTAAGACAACAACCTTGTGGGACCCACTATGTGTCTCTATTTAATAACTTGCAAATTGTACAATTTATCATCCATCCAACAACATTTGTTTTTTTTGTTAATTTTAATTACTTGTATTCTTAAATTGCATTACCATAAAGCATTGACTTTCCATTTTTATAAAGAGCTATGAAAATTCAATGAACAAAATTATTAGTACTAGTTAAACTATTTATGAATCTACCTTGGAACATGTTTACGCGTTAACCTTTTAATTAAGAAATCTAATTATGATAATGTGGTGTGAATTAAGCATCTAAGAAAGAAAACAAAAAACACAGCTAGATAAGCAAATGCAACTAAACTAGTACACTAAATGATTGTGAATTTGTGGGGGTTTCTTAAAAGGAAAAATAATGCTTAATCATTAAGCTTTTTTAATTTAAATTTTGGGTATTGTGGCAAACATGTATCAATATTCACATGAATCATTACTAGTTAAGGCTATACAAACTATGGAATAGACAAAAACATATTGTCCCCACAAGTCCTTTATATTGAGCTTCCTCATTTCTTAACCTCTTCAAAGCTCCTTTTGAATTTTTACTAGAGGTTTGTTTGTTTTTGTTGTAAAAAAATTGATTTTAACTTAATTGATTTTAGATAAAAGTGATTCAAGATAAAAATGCTTTATATTTAGATAAATCTTGCAAAAATAAGTTAAAGAAAAGTGATTTATTTTTGAATAAATTTATCTAAAAATGAGTTGAAGGTAAACTTCAGCGTAAACAAATCACATTTATACTAAAAGAAATTAGTGATGCTAGATTTAAATATAATCTACTCTAAAAATCAAAATTTATTCTACTCGAAATCAATTAAATATGTCAAAATCAAAAATTAATTATACACATTCAAAATTAATTTTTAGTGCTCAAATAGTGAAATTAAACATACACTAAGCAGGTATGAGTAGAACAAAACTGATTTTGAATAAATTAATTTCGAAAAATTGATTATAGCTAAAAGTTAGTTAAAAAAATAATAATTTATGTTTGGATAAATCGACTTAGAAATTAGTTGAATACTAAATTTCAAGATAAAAATTCTAATTTCACGTAGAATCAATTCTAAAACCACCACAAAAGGTGTGTTTGTAAACGAAGAAAACATACGTAAAAGTGTATCGGAACATGGTTTTATTAACGCATACGCCAATCCAAACACATTAAAAATTATTTTAAAATCAATTCTACGCGTCTAGAATTATAACTAACTAGCATCTTTAGAACAATTTTGAAGAACATGTCTCTATGCATTCAATTTGTTGCCAAATCATGAACAAATTTGCAGCATATTAACCATAACAATCATTCAAGAACACACATAATAGAGGTCCATAATCAAAATTAATTTAACATAAGGTAAAAATAAAAAATGATCAAAGTCCTAATTGTATATGGATCTAATGCAGCATAGATGAATTTTCAAGTGATTTGAAGATTGTAGGAGAAGATGTCAAAGGAAGAACCTGAGAAGAACTCTGTGGCAAACATTGGTGAATCTGTTTCCTAGGAGAATCTTGAACTTGAAGTTCAGCTTCAAGTTCCTTTCTTCTAGATTCTTCCATCAATCTTCTATACAATTTCTCTTCCGCATCTCTCAAGAACTTGAACTTCGGGGGCGGCGAAGATCTAAACCTGTTGAACTCCGATTCACCGGTGGCTTCGAAAAGAGGATTGTTAAAGCCTTGATGCTTACAAGATTGATCAAGAGAATCCAAAGAACACTTCAAAGGAGATAACCCGAACGGGCTTTCGACGAAATCACTCAAACTCTTTGTTCTTGAGCCTTTTCGGCTTCTCCCACATTTGGATTTCCCATCTTCAGATTCCAAATCCTCCTTTGTTTCTTCTGTGATTGTGAAGAGAAATCTTGGAGGGCCAGGGAGATTATGCAACCTCATCAATTCCAATTCCAAACTTTCTTCACCATAGGGTTTCAAAAGCAAATCTTTGCCTTCAACACCCAATTCTATGTCTTGTTCATGATTTGAGGTTTCTATGTCTCTATTAACGTTTGTAGCATCTAAAGAACATGATGTTTTCTTCCAACACCACCAATAAAACACCCCTTTTGCAAAACTAGCTTGTTCCATTTCAATATCCATGTTTGTTCTTCTCTTTTTCCACCATAAAAAATAGAAAACTTGTGCAAATATGAACAATATAAGAAACCCAAAAACAAGGCTTAAGGTAACACATAAACTAACAAAAGACATGGTCTTTTTTCTTTAAGGAAAATTTAACATCTTCATTCTATCAAATATATCAAGTAAAATTGAAGCTATGAAAATTTTCGGAGTAATTAAGGAGGTAAATGAAGTGATATCCGACAACAAATCTAAGTACCTAGGAGTAAGCTAAGATCAAATCCACAAAAGGATGGAGCATGCAACTTCTTCAAATGAAGGACAAAGGTGAATGAATGAATGAAACTTATGTTTAAAGATATTGGTACTATTTTTCAAGACCTATCTTAACTAATTGGGATTTTTCTTCTAAGGGGAAAGTCTTACCTTACAAGTAGAGGGCAAGACTTATGAGTTGTGTGAATAGACAATTTGTCATGAAAACGAGGAAAACCAGAAGATAGAGCCACAAAACTTATAGACATAATAATAAAGTAAGTAGTATCACTATCTAAGGAAAAGAAATTAAATATATTTTGATGAAAATAGGATAGGTTAAAAAGAAAGAGCTTTTGTGGTGTTGTGTTGGGTTTGGCAATATGTTTGTAAATATTGGATGGAATTGGAGAGCACGTCACATGGGTTTGGTAAAGGCGTGTGTGTCACTGTTGTCAATGAAGAGCCAAGATATATATTTTGTGAAGAAAATAAAAGTCATTTTTGTGCACTTATTGATTTATGTAAGTTTATGTAAGTAAGATTGATTGATTGATTTTGATATGATTTTGAAGTACTATGGGCATTTAGAAATAAATGTTAGGATGGATTGATGGATTGATATTAAATTGTGTACTTGTTAAAAAAAAAATAATACAGGTAGTTATATGTATAAGGTTGTTTGTGTTATTTTAGAGTATTTTGGTAGGGTTTAGAGATAATTTATGTAGAGTAGTGAGAAGCTTTGTATGATTGTTTTAAAGAAAAATTAAATATTTTTTATTCAATTTAAAGATTGTGATATTGTATAATAAGCTCTCTATGTTAGGCTAGAGAATCAAAGAACCGTTTTATCCTAGTTCTTTGACGAAAAGATGTGGTCTCTCGTTTTCCTTAAATTGTGAGGAAACAATTGCATTTCTTTTATTGACCGTTGGTCAGTTGTTACTTGAGACACATCACCATCTACATTTAGCATGTTGGTGGAAGTTAAGTTAGATGGCCCAAGCTCAAATGGGCGACAGAATATGGGCGGTCTCTCGCTCAACATCGAGCATCATGAAGCGTGATTATGGGCGTCCTATAACATTGCTCATATACTCGTCCATCCAATGTGTTATGTTTGTCTTACTTTCTTTGAGACCACCCTATCTTAGGTGAAACACCCCATATAATATACATCTAAAAAATATATTATACAAAGTATTAATTTGTAATGATACAACACAAGTGTCTAACGACATAATTATATACATGTCAATAATGTAAAATACAATGCATGGCACATGACATACAATAGTTCCTAAGCAAAAATTAAGACCTATGCGCAATATCCTCTAGAGTGCATAATCCACAGTGGAAGAGCACAATGACAAAAGTCTTCGAAACATCATCAGACAACTTCTTCTTTCCTTTAACCTGCAAATAAACACATGGAAAAAAAACAACAATGATGGTGGGGTGAGATGATAATCTCAGTGAGTTCCCCTATCCTATGGGTCCACTCGACTCTACAACATTTATAATTGATTCTTAACTCAAGTCTTCATCTTTCGTTACTTATGTATCATTCACACAACGTAACTAAGACTTAAGTATTTAAGGGATATCCACAATGTATAGCAACGTGCCACTTGAGTTTACTTAACTCAATAAATCACTATTCAGATTCAAGAAACATCGATCCCCGACCAGACCTATGTCTAGGGCAAAGCTCGGTTCATGCATGCCCGTATGATTTGACTTTCATGTGGATATTAGGTTCTCCATGGGACTCGAGCCCACTTCAAAAGCTATCACTCGTATGAGACTCGAACCCACTTTGAGTATCTTTCACCGTATGGGACTCGAACCCACTTAGGTGTCCAACCCTCCCCCACGCTCTGCCATAGTTGGTACTCAAACCCATTTGAGGCACGATTCATTGGCACCATATTCCCATTTTCTACTTTACATAAGCATCTCAAATGGGATGTACACGATCAAAGAAAATTACAAATATGTGATTAGGTTCCACAAACATCATGATTGCTCTCATCAATCACTAAGTGATCATATTCACTAATTCTCATATTATTCCACATGTTCCATACAAAGCACATTGATTCATTAATTAAGCGAATACTCATCAGCGATACACGCCAAGGTACCTTTACGTCCGAATATTGCCATCTAAGTCATTTTTCATAGCCTAAGTTATTCTTACTAGCTCATTAACCTAGTTACAAACCTAGGTTTAGCCTCACTTTTCATTATAGGTTTTAACCACTTATTATGCATTCAACACGGACAACATTTCATGACATAATTCATAACATAATCATAAGAGTTCATCTTACTCATAAAGCATTAGTAAAAATACATGCATGATTGTACTTAATAAAATGATAGAGCATTCGATTAACATTCCAACGCATTCAACCTTGTGTCGACCGGATTTATGAACCCCATTTTATGGTGAAAACATGGAAACGAGTTATAAACATACATAATAGTATAACACCATCAAAAAATGCATAATTGACATATAAGCGTAATTTTTTCTCATTAAGCAGTAAAGCGTTAAACTAGCTTTCCAACGCAGTTGACCACACCTCATTCCGAGTTACGAAACTCATTTTAAAGTGAAAACAGGAGAACCAATCGATTGTTGGACATGGCCAATCGATTGACATAAGTATTCTGCCAGAATTTTCACTAAAATAGAAGGGACCAATCGATTGGTCCAGGGTGTCAATCCATTGATACCTGCAATGTTTCCAAAAAATCACACTTCTAAGCACATATTCCTTGATCTTTAACCATCATAAACCATTCCTAATCATGTTATAACACACTCAAGCATTTCCTACCATGAAAACACCAAGTAAGAGTGTATGGACAACTAAGTTATTATTGTCTTACAACCTCATTAATCCTTACCAATTATACATAATCCTTGTAGTAAGGTGTCATAAAAACAAGAAATAACAACCATAGCAACATAGTTTTATCGCATGTTCTCACAACCACCACACATTATCAATACACATCACTTTCAGGGTGTTCATAACAACAACACAACAAGAATCATGCTTCAAGGAACAACAACTACAATACAGTTTCTTCACATATTATTAACATCATTAATCATATCTTTAACACATGTTAACACAACAACATACCACAGCAACACAACATATAACATCATGTTACACCAAACCAACACCAACATCACGGGTTAGCATAAGTGACATGCAAAACAACAAGAACATCATGTATCACCATTGTTGGAACAAAGTTGTTCATATCCCTTAGGTTTTGATGATCACAAAATACTTAAAGAAAAATTCGGTATACTAACATATGCTCAAGTGTGCAGAATCATAAGGTTAAAACTCAACTCTGAATTGACCTTGATAAAAGTATATGTAGGGAAGAAAAATGACTTAGATTCTTAAGGATCATAGTCTGATGACTCTAAACGTGAATATCAGCTTCTGAATGAACATAATCTAATCAAGGTATCCATGCCTTTAGTGACAGATCAGACTCTGAAGACCTTAGCTAAAGGTGCTCAACGTCTGATTCGTATTATGTCTCAAAAGCATACCAGTATTGTTAAAAGCCAAATTTTGGAGAAAGTTAAATAAGGTTTCATTGTCCAAGGCTCAAGTAAAGGTGACGTGACCTCTTAAGTCTTCCCCAACCTTTTGATACATACCTATTATGAGAAAGACATTATGGACAATACTATTATTCAATGGACAGTGATCTTAACTAATTTTATCCTATAATGTCTCTTGGATTGCTTTTCAACAAAAGAACTCTTATGCAAGTCACCTTCTAACGACTCTTTTTCTGCCCCTATAGAAGGGAGTTAAAGATTTGAAAGAAGGTTACAACACTACATCAGAATAACATCGAGCATAACTTTTAGCTAAAGTTTTATAATTGTTTTTGCATAAGTTTTTAAGATTTCTTATCTCTGTATATATTAGAAATCTTAAGTGTTGAAAACCTTTGTGGTTGTTGTACAATCTCTATACTTCTGATTAAACATTAAGTATAGTTGTTATCTTTTCTACTAAAATGTTTGCTTAAAGTAAAGGAAGTCTCTTGCTAGTTAGCTTGAGCAGTGGAAGTCTCGTGTAGGTTTGCTTGAGCAGTGAAGTCTCTTGCTTGTGTGCTTGACCAGAAGTCTTTTGTTGAATTTCTTGAGCGGAAGTCTCTTTCTAGTGTGATTTATTCAATTTAGAAAGGAACTAGGATAAACTCTGTGTGTTGATTTGTTTATTGCTGCTAAACTCTATTCTATTCCGTTGCTAGTATCTTCTCTTATCAGACTCTGAACTTTTTCAGATTTTGAAGTTGTTTTTCAGAAGTGAAAAAGAATTAGCTTACTTAATTCAACCCCCTTTCTTGTGTATTTTTCTCACCTTCAGTTGGTATCAGAGCACAGTCTATTCTAAACACTTTACAATGTTACACTAAAAGATCCTAAGAAAAATACTTATTCTATCATGTCAGGTGCATTCGAAATGAGTGGTACTTGTGGTATTTCCTACGAGTATAATACTACTGAGAAAAGTCATTAGTTGGCTAAACCACCTACATTTAAGGGTGATTCCACTCAGTTTGAATGGTGGAAAAGTAAAATGTATACTTATATCATTGGCCTTGATGATGAGTTTTTGATATATATCCTTGAAGATGACATTGACATTGTAGTTGATGGTGTTGGAATGGTAAAGGATAGAAAAACTCTCACACTAGCTCAAAAGAAACTTTACATAAAACATCATAAAGTCAGAGGTATTCTGATAGAGACTCTATCTCATTTTGAATACATCAAAATCATTGATAAGTCAATTACAAAGACTATCTTTGAATCT